TTGTCAGTTTCTCTCTCTCTTTCTCTCTCTCTTTCTCTCTCTCTTTCTCTCTCTCTATTTCTCTCTTTCTCCCCTCTCTCTCTCTCTCACTCTTTCTCCATATCTCTCTGTTTCTTTCTCTTTCTCTCTCTCTCTCTCTCTCTCTCTCTCTCTCTCTCTCTCTCTCTCCCTCTCTCTCTGTTCCTCCCAAATTCTTTGACAATCTGCCATACGCATAATATACAAATGCTCTAATAAAAGTGTGCATCTCAACTTAGAGAGAGATAAAAGAAAGGACAGCTGAACCTATCTTCTCAATTAGGGGCGATCAAGTCTTTTGTCCTAAAATAGAATCCATGTCTACACTCTAAACTCTCTTATCTCCCCAAGTCACTCATTAGATGGTTACACGCTAAAAGTGAAACGACATGACGAAATCAGGCGCTCGTCAATTTTCCGATAAATGGAACAATCGGTATCATCCTAAAGCGCATTTATTTGTCCTGCTTTTTTCTATTTAAAAAAATCCACCTGTCTTAAACATTAGTCGATATATTTGCCACTGAATGAGCTGGGGCCGCCTGGTGTGGGAAGTAAACGCAGCGAGAAAATGTCAGTCATAGTTTGATACGTGGGTGGTTGGCGGGTGCTCTGGTGTGGTTTGCTTCTTCTTTCCTATCAAACATCTATCTTCCTTATCTCCCCTCCTTCTTGTTTTGTGTTTGTTACTCTCTTGTAACACCTTTAGTTTTCGGCACTTATATGACCTTGTTGTGTTGCAAGTGCCGTAAAACATTTACTATAACTAAATTAATAGTTTGATGACTTTCAAAACTTGAGTGTCTTTAGTACCTTCAAATTTACACTTTTTTGGGATTGCATTTGATCTAAGTTTCTCAGTTTAAAACCCAGACAAAAATGGACTTTCAAAGGTATTGAGCAAAAACACAACAACAATTAATAAAGTTTGAACAACTGGTGAGATAGGTCAATTTCTTCGACTTTATTCTTTTGACGAGCGCATGCTTTCACCACGACGCCATGCAACAGCTCTAGCTTACCGACGGCACTTTGCACTTTGCACTTACTTCGGGGTTCTCGTGGCCTAGAGGTTAAGGTGTTGGCCTCTCATTCAAAGGTCCCTTTTTCGAATCTGGGTAGCGACCGAAACATTTTCTTCTCTAAAATTGTCTCCTTTCACCTCCTTTCCTGCTCACTAGCAATGTTCTGTCGTCTGCTTTCGTTTCCACTTTCTACCCCCCTCCCCCCCTCACCTCCTTTTCCCCCTCCTCTGGACTCCTGACTCTTTCTGCTGCCTTTCTACTACTACTCCTTTGCTCCTTCTTACTGCTGTCCTTCAGCCACACCCCTGATCTTCTGGTAGGAAAGATCTACACCTAGCCTTCTCGGACAAGGGTGAACAATCTCGGAGGTCCCGTGTGCAAGTTGCGCGCACGTTAAAGATCCTTCGGTGGTCTAATATCAATAAGAGTAGGCTTTGGCCGCTAGAAGGGCAAAATCCTAAATTTCCTCCCAACTGAAAAATGTTCAAGGTGTGCCGCCCGCTCATATGACCTTAATAGTAGTTGCGAGCGCCGTAAAACATTTACTAAAAAACAACAAAAACAAAACAACAAAAAGACCCACACCCTTACTTCTTCTCCTCAACGCCAGCACAATCACCACCACCACCACGACGACGACGACGACGACAGCGACACCAACAGAGGCGACCCCAGTGACGTCAGAGTTGTCCGTGCTCGCCTCAGGGCTCAGTGGGAGTGCTGTAGATAGATAGATAGATAGATAGATAGATAGATAGATAGATAGATAGATAGATAGATAGATGGATAGATAGATAGGTAGGTAGGTGGATGGATGGATAGATGGACAGATAGATAGATAGACAGATCAATAGATAGATAGATAGATAGATAAATAGATAGATAGATAGATAGGTAGATAGGTGGATAGATGGATGGATGGATGAATGGATAAATGGATAGATGGACAGGTGGATGAATGAATGGATGGATGGATGGATGGATGGATAGATAGATAGATAGATAGATAGATAGATAGATAGATAGATAGATAGATAGATAGATAGGTGGATGAATGGATGGACGGATGGATAGAGAAAGAGAGAGAGAGAGAGCGAGAGAGAGAGCAAGAGAGAGAGAGAGAGAGAGAGAGCGAGAGAGAGAGAGTTAGTGGGGGGAAAGATGGATAGGATAGATACATAAATAGATAGGGCAGAGGAATGGAGAAAAAAAAGAAATAGGAAGAATCCAGACAGAATAGGCCAAAAGAAGGGTAGAATAGGACTCATGAGTATCATCTGACTTTTACACTAGCCCTCAGTTGTCAAACAACATTACTGTATGTTACGTCATGGCGAGCAACAAGACATGCGGATAACTTTAGAACGACAGATGTACGCCATTGGTCGATATTTATAGTAACAGCTATCTTGTTAGACGTCATTGCGGGATTCCCACTTTGTTGTCGTTCACTGTGGCAACACGACCGCAAAGCACTATTGCAGTATTTTTAAAGGCCTGTTGCTTACAGTGGAGTGGTGGCGGAATGGTTAATGCGCTAGTCTCCAAAGCAGAAAGTCCAGGTGAGAGCCACGGTTCGGCCACGGATTTTTTTTTTTTTTTGGGGGGGGGGGGGGGGCTCAATGACGTCAAACAAAATAGCTGTTACTATAAATATCGGCCAATGGCGTACATCTGTCGTTCTCAAGTTATCCGCATGTAGCAACCCGCGACCCTGCACAGAGCGGAGACATTGTATGCGCATAATGGGTTACCTAACCCCTATCCGTACGCCCCGGGGGTCATTTTGTACCCCCAGGGTTGTATTTTTCTCATTTTAGAATACTTCTAGTACGACCAATTTTGACAGACTGCTATGCAAAGCGTACGGATCGGATTAACGAGTTAATTTCCACTTTAGAAAGTAGTGGCACAGAGTTCCCCACATCGTGTGGATATGCTAGTAAAACACGACGTACGGATAGGGTTGAGTGGTGGCACATAGTTCTCCACGTCGTAAGGATACGATAGTAAAACACGACGTACGGATAGCGTAACCCCTTTGAAGCTATACCGGCCTAAACCGGCCTTCCCGTCATGCTCCTGCCATACCGGCTTTAATCGGCTTTTACCGGCTTTTACCGGCTTTTACCGACTTTTAACGGCTTCTACCGGCTTTCCTGCTGAAGAGCCATACCAACATTTACCGGCCTGACACATCCGCCTTTAGTGAAGGTTTAAAAATAGAACATTCCACTCTAAATCTAGACCCTGAGGTCCTAGGTCTTTGTATCGTGAGTCGTGCTGACAAAATGAGTTATTTCTCGTTGTCCAAGAATGGAGATGTCGGCCGAAAATCGACAATACGGTCAGATTTATAGATTTCTAATTGATGCCATTTTGATCAAGTCTACCGTGTCTTTTATTATTTATTTATATATATTTTAAATTCAAATTGTACAAACTCCACCTATAAAGTTGATGTATTAATTTTCATAAGACTAAAATCGGAGAAGTAACTCATTTTCACAGCACACCTCACCTATGAAATTTCATTGAAATACGTCGCCTAGATCAACAGAAATAAAAGTAATTTCCTTGCTTCACCCCTCTAAATCTGTGAAAGAGCTCTGAAATAGTTCGATTCTGGGAAGCCATCCGCGGCTGCCATTTTGGTTCTGTTGTGTTGTTCTACTGACCTGTTAATGGTACTAAGAGGGTTAGGTTCCGAAGAGAGGGCTCAAACTTTCTGTGGTTGGTTGGTGGGTGTTCTGGTGTGGTTTGCTCCTTCTTTCCAATCAATTCAAACATCTATCGTCCACATCTCTTCTCCCTATTATTATTATCTTTTTTTTGGTTACTCTCTTGTAACACCTTTAATCTTCAGCATTTATATGTGGCGTGGAGTGAGTGGTTGGCGGATGCTCTGGTGTGGTTTGCTCCTTCTTTCCTATCAAACAACGATCGTCTTTATCTCTCCTCCCTTTTTTATATTTGTTACTCTCTTGTAACACCTCTACTAATCTTCGGCACTTACATGACCTTATTGTGTCGCAAGTACCGTAAAACTCTCACTAAAACTAACACGTGAGGTGTGCTGACAAAAAGAGTTACTTCTCCGACTTCAGCCGTATGGAAATTACTACATGAGTTACTTCTCGGTGGATACCTGCCTGTGACTGCACCAAAAAAAAAGATGATCATAAAATGGAGAAGAAATATGGATGATAGATGTTTGAATTGATAAGAAAGAAAGAGCAAACCACACGTATAGATTGGGAAGCGCATAGAGTCTGCTGTTGAGCGGGGATTTGCGCTATACAAATGCTATCTATTATTATTATTATTATTATTATTATTATTATTATTATTACATCAACTTCAAAAGTGGAGTTTGTACAATTTGTAAGTACGAAATAATAAAAGACACGGTAGACTTGAACAAAATTGTATCAATTAGAAATCTATAAATTATAAATCTCATTTTGTCAGCACACCTCATAAATGTGTCGTGGAACGCTAACTAAAACAAAGTAGACTTTTATCCTTTACCTGAAACGTTAAATCTTGTGTGAGCAGATCGTGAGTAACACTCAGTAATGTGAGACGCACTACAAGAGCAGGCTATTTCTCCGTCTGTAGAGTGCCTGGGAGGAAGCGTTAATTGTTCAGAGCCGGAGAAGTTCCCACAAGTCAACTTAATGTCTTGTGACGTCACCGGCGGGTATCCACCATCAACAAAGCACGTGACATTTGTAACGGTGCTTTTATAGATGACTTCCGGGTTTTTCGAGACGTTGCCGGATGGTCCTATGCTGGTGATGATGATTTTGGGTTCCGTTTGAGGTGGCTCTGAAAATGAAGATCGATCAGTTTACAAAATCATTAGCTAAACTTACCAAAGCTTATTCACACTTATATCAATCGCTCACTATCAATCGACTTTATTTGATTCAATCGGGGTCAGTCGGTGTTTCCTTCATGAAAGAACAAAAGCAACCATTTTTCCAAAATATGTCCAATTCGATTCGTTAAGATGAAAAACAAAATGTATGTGTTCGATTGTGCAGGTCTTAGTCTAATTCGGTCCAATTGTTCTAAAATGGAAGTGTTTAAATGTATTTCCCAGTATTTTATTAAGGATTCTCTCCCCTGATAATTATTGACGTAGGGTTTTTGGATTTTAAACCCCGAGACTTCGTTTGGTTTGAACGTTTAAATTATGCGACATTTTAAAAGGGGTTGAGGGGGGACTGACAACTTCACATTTAGACAGACCGTACCTCTGACGAGAATGGTGAGCTGGTCACTTTCAACAGGCGCTGTCTTGTCTCCATTGGCAGTACAGGTGGTGTTGTAGGTTCCTCCAGCTTTCGGCACAAAGTCATACGAGTACACGTAGGTGTTTTTTCCACTTCCAACTACACGCTCTGGCCTTGACCTTGCGTACTCTTGGTTGTTCACGAGAACTGTGAACTGTGGCTGGGGGTTAGAGGTCGCTCTACACTGGAGCCGTATAATTTGTTGCGGGGAGTCTGAGCAGATGTCCACAGGTGAGTTATTGTCACTGTCTGTTCTCTCAAAAGTGACAGCTTGAGGTGAGACTGTGGGAGAAGTGTTTGTTTTTATTAATTAATTTGATTTTTAAACAAACAGTTTCACTTGAGAAAAGTGTTGTAAAGGTAGCAATCCATATGTGCGGGACGGCAGCGGCAGCGGCACAGCAGCAGGACGATATATGTGCGGTACCTCAAATCACATTAAATCCATATGTGCGGCAGCGGAACGGCAGCGGGACGAAATGTGCGCCTCTTTCTATGAGTCTTCTTCATAGAGCCTACACATCTCTGCATTTAATTCTTATTGACTAATTATCATCCATATTTTCTATGTTCTTGCATTGATTCCATTAATTTAAGTGCTTTACTATCTCTATGTAGAGGTATTGAATTGTTATTTCAATCTATTTTATTAAATAAATACATTTTACTAAGGTTACCAATTGTCGGGTAAATTCGCCACGGCCGACGGGTAACTTC